ATATATATATATATATATATATATATATATATATATATATATATAAAAGCATCTCAAACCCTTCCCACACTCTTGAAATATTCTAAACAATGTTTCTAAACTCTAAATGCTCTAAAAGAGCACAGCATGTCATGATCTCAGGTCTCTGCCTCCTGCTGCTCTCTGTCATCTGCCAGCGCTCTTGGCCACGCCCACTTCTCTGCTGCAGAGTGGAGATACGGCACGCTGCAGGAGGAAACTTCTCTTGCAGCTGTTGCTAAATAAGTTTAAATAATTCATTTTAAATAAAAATCCATGCCGATCTTGCGGCTCATCCATCAATCAGTCAATTGTGTGTCATGTCTAATCTTATTTTGAAAAACCGCGGTAGAGCGAGTCCGTGAAAAACGATCTAGGAAGTAGTGAGGAACTACTGTACAACAAAGAATTCCTACCTGCTTGTATTTAAGTGTTTTATTTTGCTTTTTATGATCCATATTTTGTCAGTTCAGTTATGCAGTTCATGTAAAGTGATATGTTTGATTTTAACTTTTACCTTTTTGTCAGAAAGACAAGCTCCTGTGTTTCAAGTCTTTAAAGCCTCTAGTAGAAGCTTAAATAAAGCAAGTGTTATCTTTATTTTTATTTTTTGCTTTTGACACTAGTGGGTAAATCTTATCCGTCCTTACAGTGAGATAGTGTTATATTTTCACAGTAATGATGTCACCACATGCCATTTCTGTGAGAATTTATAAAGTACTAATCAATTCTAAACAGATGCAAAACAATCAATCAGGTGTCATTATTAGTTATAGTTATGAGTCATAACACACTATTCCTGATTGATTGTGCTGCTAAAAATCAGGAGGTGGCATGGCCCCTTTCCCCTGCCTGCACAAAAACCGTCATGATTTGTGAGGTTGTAATTATTAAAATGGTCCGCCCATGTTCCCAGACTTTTTCTCTGAACCAACATCCTTCAGGAACACACTGCTGTCTAGTGGTGTCACATTGCCCAGTAGGGCTGGGAAATATGGAACAAAAATAATATAAAACGGTGAAGAAACATAAAATTCACTTGTGTAACCCTCAGTCTTCTGCCCCTAAAAGTTCAATGGTTTTAATGGTTTTCACACAGCAAGTCTTTATGTGAGACTTACTTTTCAGTCTGTGTTTTTGTCTTCCTCTCATTAACTTGGTTATAAGAGAGTGACAGACACAGGTGTGTGGTTACCATGGTGATCATACTGAACTACTGGCAGCCACTTTAACTTTCCTTTGAATTTTCTCTACACATTTTATCCAGTTGAAATTCATTCAACCTTTATTTATACAAATTAATCGCATTGAATGTCCAAATGTCGACATTTTTTTCAGAAATTACAAAGTCCTGTTGGAGTGTGAGGCAGGAGCTTCGTCGACGCCTTCAGCATTTCTTCAGAAATGATCTAATTTACTGTTATAAGTTAACTCTTCTTTAGCTGAAAGCTAAATCTTGCATAGGGAAACAATGAGTGAGTAAACGATAGGCCTGTTGCGATAAACAATAAATCAATTAATCTCATGATAAATGAAAATTATCAACCTCATTTTCATTTATCAGCTTTATTGTTTCTTTGTGTCTCTCTTTCTACTGAAGACACTGGATGACAAAAAGCGTGACTCCGGTGCTCTTCACTGACCCCTCCCTTTCTTTTTTCTTTTTAAAATCTGTTTTAACCATTCAAAATTGTGTTGTTGTTTTTTTCAAGGTCAAGGTGTCTTTATTGTCATTCACATCAGTGTTTCCCCTACCATCATACAAGTGGGGTGCCCCACCCTGTCAACAGAATTGAGCACCCCGCCTACCAAACCAAACTTGCCCCCTCACCTGCCCACCCGGCACTGACATAGCACTAAGCTAGCAGCGAGAAATACAGGTTTTCTAGCTAAAAAGCTAAAGGCAGCACTCATGTTGCCTCTTCCCTCATGCTAAACGCCCCCTGCCCCAATTCAAAAACTGTTTATACAAGCTGCACTCAGACAATTGTCCGTCCCCTAATCAACAAAAATCATGGATGAGATGAGCACCCTGCCATGGCAATTTAGTTAACTAGGGGAAACACTGCACATCATATGTGGTACATGAAGTGGAACAAAACTATGTACATATGGTCCCAGTTACATCCAACAAAAATACAAATTGTAAAGAAAAACAGTAATAAGATATGAACTAAGAAATATGCTAAACTAGGAATACACTAAGCACTAATAGTACAAAACAATGTGCCAAACAACAGCAGCACGAACATGAGTCTGTGTGAGCAGATGAGGACCAATGAACACAGCAATATGGGGAAAAAAACAAAGTTTTTGGATTGTTAAAAGCAGCTAAGCTGACAAGCTAAGCTACGAGCTAAGCTAATAGGCCGACCTCGGGGAAAAAACCTCCATCTTGTCGAATCTCCAAAATTCACGGTTGAAACCCGTGCTTTTGTCTAAAAAGTTGTTTTTCTCTGAAAAAAGAAGCTGAGAAATTGTTTACTCATTTTTTATGAAAAGCTTTGTGTGAAAAATGCTATGCCAAAGAGCTCAAACCACACCGAGCGTCCGCCATTTTGAGAACTGAAGAGAGACAGCCCATGTCACGTCAAGGGGCTTCCCTCCCATTTTTCTTAGAGACACGCTGCTCGCTCCCTCACTATCCATCCTTCGGTTCAAACTGTCTTATACTGCCATCCAGTGGTCAAAAAAGGTGCTACACACAAAAATGAACCAACATTTCTTCTTAAATTGGACAATAATTACTAATTATTGTCAAATTTCAAACAATATTATCGTTTATCGCAATAATTTCTGAGACAATTAATTGCCCTGCAAAATTTGTCATCGTGACAGGCCTAGTGAACGATTAATGTTTTGATGTTTTAGAACAGTGTCCAGTGGACGATGCAGGTTTTGTAAATGACACGTGTCATTTGTGTGACCCCGCCCCCTTCCTCACAGTGTCTTCAGCATCAGTCCAGCGACATCAGACTGGTGTCGGAGCGGGTCCTGTGGTGGGTGTTCAGAGACCCGTCGGTGCCCCCCATGGAGACCAGTCTCATCAAGCCCCTGCTAAAGAGTCTGCTGGACAACACCAAGGACAAGAACACCACCGTCAGAGGCCAGAGCGAGCACACCATCGTCAACCTGCTAGGACTCCGCCAGGGCGAGGAAACCATGCAGGTGAGTCTTTGTGCTCAGGAGTGTTATTTACAGGTCGGTGTGATCAAGGATGAAAATATTGCCTCATTCATTTGACCATTTTCTCATGCCAGAGTATTACTGCCATCCTGGACTCTGCAAGTAACGAACTACTGTCAGAGTGTCACCGCCGGTCGCTGAAGAAGATCTCCAGTCTGCCTGACTCCAATGAAGAGATTGATGACACAATCCTAACGTGATGGAGCAGGACTAAATACAAATGCATTCTGCAGAGGCCAACTCAAATCTGACTGATCCAGTAAGCAAATACCAGGAGAACCCCAGACACACTCAGCAGATATCCTCTTCTCGCCTTGGAGTGGAAGAAATCCTGTATATCCAGGCAAATTTTCTTTTTTGTTCGTTTTTTTTCTCACTTCCTTGTTTTAGCATCTTTAAGCCTAGTTTCTTTTATCTTGTGATGTGCAGGTGATCCTCCTGTACCAAACTTTATTAGAAAGACACAATGCCAAAATCTGTTTTGATACAACAGTGTTTTGCTAATTATTTTACTAAAATGATTTGAAGCATTTAAATACCTCTGGAAAAACAAAGTCCCTCTCTAATATTTCTTTGGAGTTTGTGTGAGAACTGTTTGGGGAAAACAACTTTCTATAAGAAGACAAATCATTCTTATCAGTGATACTGTTGTAAAAATCTTATTCAGTAACGGTAATAAAAAGATTTCATAATGTGCGTGAGAGACTGAGGAGCCATTTTCTTGAAGCTTGGTCCAAGGTCACTGTGGTTCGCACTGCAGTTCTCTGAAGTGCTTGTCGGTACATCTCACTAGTTTCATGGAGGAAAGTTTTCACCATGGCTGACTTAAACTTTAGCATTACAACAATTCATCATAAGGAATATATTTTCATTGTATTAATCTGTGACGTGCTCCTGGTAGCAACAAGAGACAAGTGTGTGTGAAGCACATGTCTGGGTTTATTCTTTTAACTGTTTATAGTTGAGTAACCAGTGCTTGAGCCCCCATTATTACTTAATGGTTATTTTTCTGTTCTGCAACTTTGTATAAAAGTTCTTACAGAAAACACCAGAATATGTAGCCTAATTGGGAATAGCATACTATAACTCTATGATGCATACATATGTACATACATACAAAAAATAAATATGAAATAATTAAAAAGAAGCAGAATACACACATTTGGAAAAGAGAAATATCCATATGCACAAGGTAGTAGGGAGTATTACATTCATGTTTAATCTATGTGTACATACACATATAAGCATACATACACATATGTACATATGTATGTATATGTATATACATATATATATATATATATGTATATGTGTGTGTAGACATGTATGTGTATATATATATATATATATATGTATATATATATATATATATATATATATATGTAAGTTTTTTATTTTATTTTTCTTCTTTCGGCTGCTCCCTGCGTTAGGGGTCGCCACAGCGAACTAAGTCGCACGAAGACTTGGCAGTTATTTTTACGCCGGATGCCCTTCCTGACACACACACACAGACCACGGAGCTACCACAGCCCTCTATGTGGAGCAGAGAGCTGCTGTCTAGGACACCCAGAGGAGCAGATGGTGGGGATTAAGGGCCTTGCTCAAGGGCCCAGAGTGGGACGAATGAGGGTGGAGGCAGGTGTGAGTGCTTCACCTACCCCACCCACATTTATATATATATGTGTGCATGTGTATACATACACACACACATTTTATATACATATACATATATATATATATATATATATATATATATATATATATATATATATATAT